CTGTAGTAAAAGGCACAGGGTTTAAGGTGCAATCTCATTTCAGCCAATAGTGTCGTGATGCATGACGCACTGCTCACAAAAGATACTCTTAAATCAATTTACTGAAAAACTTCCAAAAGTTGTATATTCAGCTCCATTTTCATGGTACTAAGATGGATTTTCCTCAATCCGATCACAAGTGTATGCCACTAAATACAGTTGTAAAATGTTTTGAGCTTCAGAGAACTTAAGATTAAGCCAAAACTGCATTTGATCAGACTACTTTTATAGTAGTGCTCCCATACATTCAAGCAGACACAATACCACCTACATTCTGTGTGCTTCATGTGATCTTTTAATGCCTTAGATATTCATACTTTCCTATGTTGTTACAAAACACATGGGATCTGCAACCATTGCACTGACTTGCTTTCCACTCATTTGTTGCCTTGTGACATGGCTTTGCTCATTCAACAGTACTTGTTAATCAAACTGAGCATTCCTGCTAGTGATTTCGAGAGTGATGAAATTAGATTGATGGGTCATGCTTTAATACCAAATGAATGCATATTAATACCACCTGGGAACAGGGACTTTGTCTGGGAATGCTTCACCCTTACTCTGATTTACTGATCATGAGGATTTCCTAATGAAATGACTGGATTGTGCTGGTGAAATTTCACTGAGCAACAGTATATGTGACTGACTGTCATTACTTTATTATGTTGTCTGGCAAATACTGAGAAGAAACGCATGACAAAAACACTACACTCCTAGTTTTAATTAGCTTGAATCACACAACACATATTCTACTAATACAACCTGTATGTTTACATGCAGCCCTGAAACTATCATCCCACTAACATAACCAGTATGTTTACTAACACTCATAAAACTAACGTATCATGATTGTCTATATTAATGCATACACTCTCAGAGGAGCTGTTACTGGGGTCATAGTAACACATTTGTACCTAAAAGGTCCATATTGATCCCTCAAGGGTACATAATTAGTACCTTCAAAGTACAAAAGTGTTCTTCTTAAATTTTTTATGTACTAATATATACTTTTGAGGTATTAATATGGACCCTTTAAGTACAAACATGTACCTGCTGAAAAGGTACCACCCCAGTGACAGCTTACATACACTTTATTTCTGAGAGTGTAAGGCCAGACAGAATCTGCAGACATTTTTTGCTATTTCTGCGGAAAATTTTGTAACAAATCTGGGGATTTATGAGGAATGATTTTAGAAGTATCAGAAAATTAATATATGAAATATAAAAAAGAATACATTTTTAACATTTATTTTATGTTTACAATGCAAATCCAATTAGATCCACTTATTTGGTAAACACAGCAAGACTCTCATATAATACAGTATATCTACTAAAACAGAAAATATTACTTCACAAACTGTATTGCATATAAATCATAAACATTTTAATATTACTATTATTATATGTCAATAATATTAGTGAAATAAAAAATGAATATTTATAAATTTACACACATTTACACAAGTGAATACATAGACTCATTAATGGGTTAAAAATCTGTGGATTTCTGCGCAGCATACACCGAGTGGGTCTACTGATGGGTGTAGCTTCTATCAGATCATCCAAATACCTCACATAAAGCATTAATAAATCAATAATGGTTCTCAATATAGCTTTCAGGAACAGAAACGTTGTCAAACCAAGTCTTTTCAAATTGATGTCAATTTACTATTAAAATCTAATTACCTCTCAAAAGGAGAAACATCAATCTCTATGACTCATTGCCATATGGGGACTCTTGGAGACAAGAATGCTTATTAGCGAAAATTCTTACTTCAGGACCCCCTGATTTACTGCATACGGAGTCTGCAGAATCGTTGCGCTTCACAACGCTAAGTTGCTTTTTGGACCAGCTGACCACATTACAATCAGTGCTGCAGTTATGGCATGCAGCCAAGACAGGCACTTAAATTAAACAGCGAGCTAATAACTGGCTATTTATTAGCCTCAATCTCCTTTCCTGTCCCAGAGAAACTCACTATGAACAAATTTAAGATAAAGTACAGCAATTGCATAACTGCGTTCTGTAGCCTTCCCTCCCCCTACTTTGACAACCTGAGAAAATAACTAGGTTGCTGAACTGGCACAACTATCGGCTGGAGACCTCGGTAAGGAAATGAGATGGAAGGATTTTCTCTTTTTTTTTTCCAATCTTTCTATATAGCCCAGGTGCTGAAGCAAAGTTTACTGTATTAAAGTTTAAATCCCTTAAAGGCTTACATTGCTGCAAAACCCGACCGGATGCGCCTGTTGGGTGATAAATGCCATTTTTACATTCTTCCCATATCTCATAAAGTAAATATGCAGATAGTCATCGTCTACAAGTCTTTTGATGAACTGATCTTCAGAGATTCCAATTAAAAGCATTTTTTACATTTTAACTGGGCTTCACAGAGAAACTCGCCTAGAGAATGAACGGATGGACATGGTCTTTTTTTAAGCACCTACTGGGCAGACTGGGCTTTGATACAGAGACAGATCAAATACAGTTATAGTTAAATATAGAAGGGAAGACCTTTACACAACTCACCAGCCCTCAAACACACTCTTAACCCAGACAAATGGTTACAGAGGAAACCAGTTGTTAAAGAGACCTTTAAGAGACGTGTGATTATATTTACACTACCATTCAAAGTTTAGGCTGGTAAGAATTTTAAAAATATTTTTGAAAAATTATTGTAATTCATTTGAACTTCTGCGGCTCAAGAAACACTTCCTATTATTATCAGTGTTCAAAACACTGTTTCTTAAAAAAAAAAGTCAGCTTTTAGAAACCTTAAAAAGCCCCTATTTTGCATCATAAAAAGTCATATTTAAATTTTGTGAGTCTCCAAAAACAGGCTGATATGCATGCAAGGTCAAAAAACACTTTTAATGTCTTTTAATATGTATTTATTTTTACTTAATTATACGATGATTTGTTCAGCGATTTATTTGCTTCCAAACCCCTTCTTAGCACGAAGCTTGCACTAAGGCACAGAAAAAAGCCCACCATGGTTATGAAGTAGCAAAGAGTATGTGAGAGCCCAATGCAAAAATGCAATAACGCATTGCGGGTAAACACAAGCATATTACAAGCTCTACTCTTAATTCCAACCCCAAGTAATTACAACGACACGCATTCAGTATTAAATCACACAGTGGCAAAAATTTAACTATTTTGAAAACTGACCGCGCCGCGAGTGTGAGAAACAGATAATGGTGGCCATTGCAAAAGGCAAACGGCAGAGGATCGCGATTTCAGAAAAACATTTCGATTGTTAAAGTATGTATATATGCAATATGTGAATAGCCCAAAAAAATTTAACCTTAAAGATAGTAAAAGCACTGATCTATAATAGATGATTGATTACAAGCTGCGCAGAGCGCTTACAAGTTGGAACACACAATTGAACACATATTTTGCAAACTAAACAAAACGAGGCAACAATGTTAACCAAACTTACATGTTATGATCCATAGGAAGAAGAAACTGGTCCATTAAACTGTAAAAGTTACTGACAAAGTCCCTGTCAAAGTCCCATCCATAATAGTCTCTGCAACTTCTTCCTTTAATAGCAACTTTAACTCTTTATTTTCCATAGCCGAATCTCTATCTGTCAGTGATCGTCATCTTTGGCCCAATCCCAATTCTATTTTTGTACCCCTACCCCTTCCCCTTGGCCCTTAAAGCCGAGTGTGTATGGGAAAGGGCTTTAAAATTTACCCCTAGGAAATAGGACAGCACTACAGCACCTGCACACATAATTACACGTCATCACGATCTCATGCTACATATGAGATTAGACGACCGCGACTGCTGTAGTTATTCAAGTTGCTTTATTTTTTGGTATTTATCTTCAGGAAATCACTTAAGGCATATATTATGTTATCATAACAATATAATGCAGCAATAAGTTAACTATAGCATAACAGCATAACTATACTGTGCATTTACACAGTGGCCATATTTATCAATGCAAACACACCAAAAACAACATTAACATTATAGCAGAAACTGTAAAAAGCCCAGGTCCAACCACTAGACTTTTCTGACAGAGTATTCGAGTGTCTGAATCTTGTGGGACTGCTATACAGGAGTTATAATGATTATGGATTTATTTTTGCATTTTTTTTAGCATGACGGTAAAACATAAACGTGGTTATGAATATATTAAAACATGTGCTTGTTGTAAAAATTCGTAATAATGACAAAAAAATACTTTGTGGATCTCCTTACTTCCGGGTGTAACTATCCTGCTGTTGTGGACCGTGTATTCTGGGACATTTTCTTACTCCTTGGTTTTGAGAGTGGTCCTGAAAAATCTTCATTCCAAGGGGTATTTACCCCTTCCCCTTAGCCCTATGCCTTCAAGCTAAAGAGAATTGGCACACCCCTACCCCTTCACAGGAACACACAAAACGAATGGTAGGGGTAAGGGGAAGGGCCAAGGGGTTGATCAGTCCCGTGATCATGACACTAGCTCTGCTAGTGTCTAAAGGGAAAGGCGAGTAAAATGGCTTGTAAAGCTACATATAAGGTGTATTGAGAATAACCTGTCACATATTTAGCAAAATCTCTATGCTTAGGACAGTTATTAAAATATTCTTATTTACACTGATTAGTCAAGAAAAATAAGTGCCAATTTAGCTCAATAAAAAAAAAGCCCCGGAGGAGAGGATAGACGGAGCCCTGTCATATGTAATACTCACTGCCGAGCAGATTTTTGGGAGGAGAGAGAAGTGTGTGTGGTTGTTACACAAGAACCTGCATCCCCTGACACTCTGACACCCACACATTCGCTAACAAGTAGCTAGGCCATGATATTATGCCCACACACACATGCAGTCTAAAAATACTCTTACACATGTATAAACATGCATGAAACAATGAAAGCACATGCGGATATATACACAAAACCTCCCACATTTGCTGCGACATCATATGGTCTAAATTTAATTCCTCTCAGGATCCAACTCACCCCTTGTCTGCAGGCTTGTTCGTTGAGTGCCCGCACCCATGCTCTCTGCCAGTGCTCCCTGAATGACCTGAAGGCAAAGAGCGAGGACAAAAGGCCCTTGACGCCAGCTTCAGTGTCACTTCCTGCCCCGTCTCGTCCCAGCCTCAGCCTCAGGAGAGATCCCCACACACCTCCGGTCAGTGTTTGATGGGTGAGACTCAAGGGCAGCTGCCACGGGGTCTCCCTCTTGCCCTGCAGCTTGCTGCACCATCTAGGGCGAACTAACGCCAGTGAGAACTGAACGAGCCAGGCTAGTACGACCAGCAGCGAGGCACAGAAAAGTGCCACCTGAACCAGCCAGCTCACGTCCTGGAAAGTCGTCATCTCCCAAGGCATTGATCACTTGAGTCCCATTTTTATGAAGGGGTGAAAATATTGACTCACGAAGGTTGGAACTCTGGGAAAAAGATGGAGAGAGATTGAGAGTAAGTAGACTGGAAAAGAACCAGATGCAGGCATATGCAGCCATGTGGCACCAACATATCATAGGAACACTGACATGTAAAGGGACAGATCACTAAAGAGTTAATATTCTGTCAAAATTAAGCCATTGCCCCCAAAATAGAGTATATAGAGTATATCTGTGAAGAGGCTGAAATGATTTTGCAAATGCTGTTTATTACCTTGCACCGGCTAATCATTTTGATTCACTAGACTTTAATGTATCATCAGAAGTCGTGGGCATTAATTTTGTTTCATGGATTATATTACATGGATTTTTTTTTTTTGACTCTCGAAGTGGAGCTACACAACTACACCTAAAATCTGTTTGATAAAGTCACATACATTTGATGGTGTAGTCACATTTTTAGGAGAGCTGTCCCTTTAGTCATTCACCAAAAATCTGTTTTTTATTTGAAATTGAAAGTTGCAGGGAAGTAGAATCAAAACATTTTAAAAGATTAAAATAAAAATCTTCTAAAATGAGCATTTTTCTAAAACTCCAACACTTATTTTCACTAATTTCACATTAAAGGCAATAAAAATAACGGATTAATTGACATAAAAGAGAAATTACTCAACTTTTAAATAAGAGCCTGACAAAAATGCTAATTTTAGAAGAAAGTTTCAGGCAGCATTTATAGGTTTTTGCATGTAAACTCTTTATATATATATATATATATATATATATATATATATATATATATATATATATATATATATATATATATATATATATGAAGAGTTAAATACAGAAATATTTAAAGAATAAATACAGAGTCATGTTAATATAACCGTGATATGCTTGAGACATAGTAAAAAGTGTGAGTACAATGGTCTAACATGTCTATCAGTGGTTCTCAATGTCATTCCATAGAAAACCACTGAAAACTATAAAACACATTTATAGAAATACTAAAAATCAAAATACTCTTGCTAAAATGCAAACGGCCCCTAAGCCAACATTTACTTTCACAACAAATGATACAGAGGGGTTTTTCTTGTTCTACATGCATAAAAATCTGAATAAATACACATTTGGAACACAATGAGGAGGAGTAAATAATGACCTTTTTGATGCTTATTTGCAAATCAGAAATATTTTTTGTTTTCTGTTTATATTTCAATTACATTATTGGCTAAAATTTTCCTCTTATCCAACCAAACATACCAGAAGGAAGGCCATCTTCCCTAAAAGAAAGTGAACAATTTTAACAACACCACAGTTACTGTTATTACTATTTATTGTGCTGTTAATATTATAATGTTTACATTTCCCAAGGTTCACAGCGTGTGTTCTTATCACTAGATTTACAAGTGCATCTCCTGTTAGTATTCCCACCTGTGCTTAAAAGTTTCAGCAGTTGAGCAAACTGACTAAGCATTTCGGTGAAAGTGTGACATTCAATGCCTCTCCTGAAACCGGAGAAGTGGCCAACTTCTTCCAGAAAACTCAGCTCGGCTGCACAGTCTAGTCCTGTGTGAAGCCTGTGTGTATGTGTATGAGAGCCGCTCCGATTCTGTCACATTTCTGACAGCCCAGCAGCAGCGATGAAGCAGCTGTGTTCTGGGTCAGTGCTGCACTGCAACGGCGAACGAGCTCACCATGACCCATCTAGCGATTCAGTTTCAGTCCCTTCATTGTGATAGGGTGTACTTAATTCTAACACAAATGATGGCGTTCTTATCAAACCATGCATGTTTTCCCTCACTGGTCACCATTACAAAAGCAGCGGCGTTTGAAACCCCAGTGAGCTGCCTATGAAACGCTAGACATCATTATGTTTTGAGCATTTGACTCAGTTCAGTCAGTTCAGCTGACTCGAATCGCGCATACCGTCAACAAAATGCTGCACGCGCATATGACGCCGAATAAATGTTTGTGCAAGAGAAAACAATATGAAGGATTTATTACCGATCAGATGAGAAACGCCGTGTTCGCGCGCTGACTAGCTACAGAAGAGTGGTTCAATGGCTACATCATGTCTTCGTAATTCCAGCACCAGCCTTCAGGTCCGAGCATCTTCCACGATCAAACCTGAGCTGATCGGTACATGGCCTCCGTCTCTTCAGTCTTTAGCGTGCGACATAAAATCACACATTTACAATGACCAGTGCAGTCCACGCAGGAGAAAATGTGTCTTCCTCCCACCGGCGGTGTTGGACGGTCTGTAATGGTAATGCGCAGGAACAGAACAGTCGAGCTGTCAAATAGTGTAGCAACACAAACACACATACCGCGTAAGGACAACGCGTTTAAAGAGACACGCACACTTCAGGCTGCGCATGCGTAAAGCGCATATTCCCTGGCTGATCCTTAAAAGAGTTTTCGCTGACGTTTGTTACATTATGTCAAGTAATTTTTTTTTTTATGTTGTTGTTACAAATGCATCTTGTATTTGTTTGATTTATCATGATTTATTAGACTTGGTAAAAATCATAGGTTAGTTGAGCTCCTTTTAACAGTTTTTAATAGCATCTTTTCATTTGGTGTTAAGTGGTTCAAATCGACTTCTCTAATTTTGAAAAAAACAATTCATTCCCAAATATATGTATTAACAATTAATGAACCCATATGTTCGACTGGTTGTCTTTGTGGAATATTTATGTAGTTTTTTTCCATATTGGGTTTATAATTATTATTAAAATGATAAATAAATTTAATTGCAAATCTCAAGAAAGATGTTAATATTGGCTCATTTAATTAACTTTAATCAACTGCTCAGAATACTTTTCTATCCATGTCATATGCTGTAATATATTATAAAACAAATTAATGTTTTAACAAATTAACAAATTGAACTAAATTATTATTTTTTTTGTTATGCCTTTAAGCATGTATAGCCTACAGTATGTTGTGTTTTGTTTTTCTTCTGGCATACCCCTGACTGAGGCCTTCTTTGATTTTTAAACTTCTCAGAATATACTTTCATGAGTCTGAAATATTTTTTTCTTTAAATGACCTTTTTTTTTCACCTGAAAATAAAAATTGGTTTAGGCTGTCAGCTTTCCATATCACACTGCATGTTGTTCTAATAAAGAAATAAAATGTTTTTTTTTCCATTCTCCTGTTTTTGTTCAATCTAAATGTCGTTCAAATTATAACGTCTTTTGGGAATGTATTAGTGTATGCTTCCCTACTGTATACTACAGTGACCCTTTGACTGTGTGTGTTTATATGGTAAACACTGTGTTTTTTTTTTAAATGTTCACATGTTTTTATTTCTTACATAGTTTTTTTTTTAGTTTAAATTATTATGATATTTTATTTCCATTCTTTTATTTTAATATTGTATTTGTCCACCTACAGTATTTCAAGCATTGGCAACATTTATCATTTACAGTCATGCCAATAAAGCAGTTTTGAATGGTATTGTATTCAATACATAAATGCTCTTATAAGTTTCATACAATCACATATTCAAATAAAAACATCGTATTGTAGATTTTTTTCTGTCTGCAATTAAACTTTTCAAACAATAATAATATCTTGATAAATAAAACTAACATGACATAGCAATTGTCATGGGTAGCACAATTGTAGGTAGCACAATTGCCTAACAGCAAGAAGGTTGCTGGTTCGAGCCCCGGTTCCCCCAAAGTCCTAAGACATGCAATACAGGTGAATTGAATAAGCTAAATTGTCTGTAGTGTATATGTGTGAATGCAAAAGTGTATGGGGGTTTCCCAGTGTTGAGTTGCGGCCGGAAGGCCATCTGCTGCCTAAAACATGTGCTGGATAAGTTGGCGGTTCATTCTGCTGTGGTGACCCCTGATTAATAAAGGGACTAGGACGAAAAGAAAATAAATGAATGAATTAATTTATTTCATGAATAATATTGTAGCCCTGCATTTAACAAATTGCCAGGTATCACTACAATGTCAAAAATATTACTTCACGGAAGTTGAGACTTTTAACATGCTTTTCATTTCAGTTTCCGGTTGTGTTACGCCTGCAAAAAGTTCGACTCAAAACCAATATGACAGTATCAAAACATACTTACACATATCTCTGACTAAACACCTCCTTGGTATCCATTTGAATTGTACGGCATTGCGCTTAAAACCTTAATCGTTAACTCTCATAGCATTAGATCATGAGAGTATATTAAGATAGTTGTGTAAATGCAAGCGGTCAGCGGACGGATTATGTTGACGGAAGTAGACGTGGATTTTGTGATGAGATCAGAGCCAAACGTACAATGTAAACTGACATATCGATAACCATTTGACGTCAACGCTGTTTGCATTTGTTGTAGGAGTAATAAGTTACTCATAACCTAAGCCGGGATTTATTTAGGCAGGAGGTTCTCCTCTACCGCCGGTTACTTACATGAGGTTGTGGAAATCTAGCTGTCAACGTTGAGCCAGAAAACAACCGTTTACTGATGAATCTAACGTTACTTTGCAGAGAAACATCGTTCATTCGCTTCGAAAATAAACAAATGTTATTTTTGTACGCGCTTTTATCCATTAACGGTTTCCGCCGCGTATCGGACATGTAGTTAAAACATCTGTAAACTTTGAAGAAACATGTTCAGTTAATGTCTGCTTCATTATGATTATAAAACGCAATAGCATTGAATGTTGCTGACAGGAAACGAACGCTTGAGTTGTTGTAATACAATACATATATTAGTACAGTAGATTCAGTATATTGTAGTTTTATATCGAGAAGATGTCTCCAATTCCTGTTGTTCCTCTGATCATCAACTGTTGTATGTCTGCACTTGGGTGCATTGCAACAGTCAAGCTTATTCCTGCCTTTAAGGAACATTTCATATCTGCAAGACTTTATGGCATGGACTTAAATAAAACCACAAAGAAAGAGGTGTAAGTTTTGGATTTTTATTCTTATGTTATTGTGCATCGATATTATGTGTTGCTTTGCTATATGACGTTTGACACCTGAATTTAACTCTTGTTTCCTTTTTATTAACCAGACCCGAGTCACAGGGTGTAATCAGTGGGACAGTCTTCCTCATCATCCTCTTCCTCTTCATCCCTGTTCCATTCTTACAGTGCTTTATGGGAGAGAAGTGTCAACGGTTTCCTCACAACGAGGTGAGAGAACGAATGATCCTTTAATCATGAAGTGAATATCAAGAACTCATCGTTTGTTACTGTAATGTTGCAGAATTAGGGGTCAGCAGGGGCTTTTAGTTATTGCAACGTTTTAAAATAATCAAGAACATGATCAATTGTTTCAAAGTCTGTGCAAAGGCTTTTATGATGTTCCGAAATATTATCTAAAGGGATAATTCGCCCAAAAAGAATGATTTACTCACTATTTACTCTTCCTCAGAATGTTCCAAAGCTTTAGAAGTGTTTTTACCCCTGTTGAACATAAAAGAAGATATTTTGAAGAATGATGGAAACGTAGTCATTGTCATTTTTTTGATCCACATAGTTTGTTCAGCTGATCGGTGCATTGTTGGCCATCTGCTGCATGATTTTCCTGGGCTTTGCTGATGATGTTCTGAACCTGCGATGGAGACACAAACTTCTGCTGCCCACCATGGCCTCTCTGCCTCTCCTCATGGTTTACTTCACTAACTTTGGCAACACTGTCATCGTCGTGCCAAAACCTTTCCGTCTCCTTTTGGGGATGCATTTGGACCTGGGTGAGTGTGATGGTCAGAGAGTCTGCTGAAGTGTTGGGTGTTCTCTTTCTTGACAGAGAGAAGTTTATTTTGTAGGTATTATACACATGTACATCACCATTTTGGAAGGACACTATATGCTGTGTAACTGCAGGTTAACTATGTTTCTTTACTGTCTAACCTTTACACAACTCCTTAACTTACTTATTTTTGACTGTAATGTAATAGTAATGTGTACCTTGGCTTTTTGTAAAGGTGACAATAATTATTTGGGACAAATATTATTGTGAAATACGCTATACAAATAAACTTGAATTGAATTGTATTGTATGATACATGCTTATAAACTGACTGTTTTGCATATACTGTGTTTTAGGAATTCTGTATTATGTGTATATGGGAATGTTGGCTGTGTTTTGCACAAATGCGATCAACATCTTGGCTGGCATCAATGGCATTGAGTCTGGACAGGCTCTCTTCATATCAGGGTCCATCATCCTCTTTAATTTACTGGAACTCAATGGTGAGCTGAGGGTCTGTTTTTCCTCTTATTTTTATATTAAAATCTCTTTGCATGGTTTTAATATAGGCGTAATTTGTTTCACGTGTATGTACACTATCAATAATTGAGATTCGTTTTTACATATAATCATGTAAGCTGCATTTATTTGATCAAATATACAGAAAACTCTTTAAATATTGTTGTTTAAAATGATTTTTAAAATAAGGTAAATATGAAGGCTACTGAAGTCTTCAGAAATTATAGTCAAAAATGTAAATAATATTCAGAATTGCTGAAAAAAACAACAACATTTGTTTAAAAGTGCTCAGCAAAGATTAATCGTGATTAATCGCATCCAAAATAAATGTTTGTTTTGACATAATATATGGGTGTGTTATATATGGTATATTTATCATGTATATATGATACAACAAAAAAATTTGTCACATGGATATTTTAATTAATATATAATTTGTATCACATGTACATATACTGTATATTTTATATCTAAATAAAAATGAACTTTTTCTAAAATGTATGTATGCATGCATGTGTGTTTTTTTACATACAGAATAAATATACACAGTACACACACATACAGTTTATTATGTCAAAACATACGTTTATTTTAGATGCGGTCAGTTTTGCTCAGCACTGCTTATTAATCAATGTTGCAAACAGTTACATTGTTATAATTGTTGCCTTTTAAAGTCAGAGTTTAAAGTTTGCAGCTATATTTAATATCTGCTCTTGGATTGTTATATTGATCTTTGAATGCCATTTCTCTTTCAGGAGACTACAGAGATGACCATGTTTTCTCCTTGTACTTCATGATTCCTTTTTTCTTCACCACATTAGCTCTCTTCTACCACAATTGGTTTGTTCAAATTCTTGCCTTTTGATTATCATTGGCATATACCAAAGATATATTTGTTTATATATTTGCCATGCATAAAGCAATTTTTGGAAATGTTATTATTTAAAATCCCTAAAAACAAACATGCCCATTGCCAAGATGTACTAGATATGTCCCGTAATGCAGATTGATTTCAAGTGTGTTTTGATACTTGCTCCAACACTGACATTAATTTTTTTTAAAAGTTTGCTTAGTTCACCTTTAATTCTCTCTTTTGAATACTGCCTATTAGGTATCCCTCTTCTGTGTTTGTGGGAGACACTTTCTGTTACTTTGCTGGAATGACATTTGCAGTTGTCGGGATACTCGGCCACTTTAGCAAGACAATGCTGCTTTTCTTCATCCCTCAAGTCATCAACTTTATTTACTCACTGCCTCAGCTCTTTCACATCATTCCCTGCCCTAGACATCGCCTGCCTAGGTAGGTAATTTCACTAACATTTGTTTTTATACATAATTATAAATGTAAGGACACTTCAATTAAATAATTTAAATTTTAGTAGTCTGGAAGCTATGAGAGCTATATGTTCTTCATTATACACACTCTTTTTACAATTTTAAAGTGATTTACTTTTAATTTTAAGTGATTTGCTGGATAGAGAGAAGTGAGGATATGGGTTTAAATATGCATATTTTAGAAAATTTTTGATATTTTAGTCTGTCTAATAAAATAGTTAAAGATAAGCTTCATCTTTGATTGCTATTTAAATATTTATTGTTTACTTAAATAGGTCCTATGATGCCTTTTTAAAGGGCATTTTTAAGGTTTTTGGAGTTTCTGGAATATCAGGGAATTTTAGAAGGTCTGTTCCAGACATTGCAAGTCAGGGAGATCTTTGTTTAGAATATTTTAACCAAGGAATATCAATAATTTTTGTTTGTTATTTTAAATTTGTCAGCTCTTTGTTAGATACAGTTAGCCTATTTTTTCAGTGCCACATTATTCCTTCATTATCTCCTTAAATCAAATGTAGTTACCAGCCTGGTCCTGTTAAAATATTACATTGTTTTGTGTGTGCTTAGTGTGCAACATAACAGTTGCCTGTTTCTCTGTCAATTATTCACCTTATTTTGCAATGTGGAAGCAAGCAACTCTTTTCTTTAAATGTGTAGTCTTCCAATACATTTGCCTACATAACTAGGCTTATAAAATGGTCAAAGTATTTGCACATCAAATCATTTACATTTAAATATTATGATAAGAAAATTACAGCTTACAACATCAAACAGCATTAGTTGTTTTGTGTGGCGAAAATGAATGGAAGTGAATGAGACAGTAAGTCTCTATGCATTTAGGATACAATGACTGAATAATAGGTCATGGATATTCAGCTTTTCGTCAGTAAAAGTCAGGGACATTTGGTAAATTGGGAATAAGGGAACAGGTTAACATGCTTTAATGTTGAAAAAAAAAATTCCCATATGATATACATTATTGAAGCATTTATAATCATAGTTTGTCTTAAATGCTGAGATTGCATTCTATTTTTTCACAAAGCTATGAGTGTTTCAGAAATGTAATGCCTCTTACTACAAGCCTTCGGTTTTATGACAATGGATGATCAAGCAGATGAATCAGAAATAACTTGGCAAGCACAAGTTGTTTGAAAAAAAAAAACAGAAGTCTAGTCTAACGTGGTCTAAATGGTAACATAGCTGATCTCTAAAAGCCTTGACAAGGTTGAACGCAAAGGATTTTTTCTACTGGCCCAATCGTACTAGTAGTTCAGATTTGTACTTGCCCTGCCAATATTTTCACTGGCCCTACCAAAAAAAGTTTATAGCTATTTCTTAGCCACAAATAAAATGAAAATGTGTCAAAATGTTTGTAAATCTAGAATTTAAATATTTAAAAAATTTTAATAAATGTGTAATAAGCAAAACTCAAAGTGTTTTGAAAAAAAAAAGATGGCTAAAGACTGGCTAAACTGATGGCAAACTGTACATAACTTAATTTTTTTAGTCATGGTGTACGCTCGTATATGTCTGCTTCCAAGACGTTAGAAACAAATGTTTTCCTTTAGCATCATCATTTGATGTTACCGCCATGTTGCTGTCTCTTCGCTGTACTAATAACATGTTCACAACATCTAATCAGATAAGAAGAACCAAGAAGGTAGCATTTGAAGGCTTGAAAGTACAAACTGTTTCTCAATTCTAAAACTGTATTTGCACGCAATTGACAAATAGTCACAGGCAAATTAAACTTTAGTGACAATTCAGCAGTGGCCCGATCGGGCCAGTAACGATTCTGTCTGCTGTCCCGAGCATCTCACACACTGGCCCCGGGCCATCGGGCAGTCCTTATTGTTGAGCCCTGCTTGATATACTTCAAGTGAGATTAAAAAACAAACTGGCTTGTTGTTATTTTAAACAAAATCGGGCCAAAATCAAGCTTTTTCAGATGTTTGAAACATTCTTTTCTTTTGTGGTTTATTTTCTTTATTCATTCACTTAATTTGTGAGATGTCCACAAGTAAAAACAAGAGATTATTTATACTAAAAATATAAAGCAACACTGACGTTGTTGTTTTTTTCATGCTTAAAACTGCAGATTTACTTGTTTCAAAGAAATCTACTAAATAAAGTCCTGAATCTAATCTGAAATCAGTGTTCTTTAAAAATTAAAATGTGTAAACAGTGTGTAATATTGACTTTACACATTTATTTATTGTTGTTGATCTTAAGTTTCCCATCAGTGAATGCACACAGTGCTTCCTTAGCAGTTACACCAAAAGTAAAGCAAAATGAAATTATTGTGTGGGCTTGACATCTAAATCTGATTAATACAGGTTACAGTCAGACACAGGAAAGCTGGGCATGAGCTACTCCAAATTCAAACAGAAAGACCTTGGCAAATTAGGGCAACTTATTCTAAAGGTAAAAACACTCATGACACCACATCACGTTATATGGGTTTAGGACTGTTTGTTTGATTAGATTGCACATCCTATTTTGAGAACGTTTAAATGTAATTTCCTCTTTCATCCTGCAGGTGGCAGAAAAGTTATGGGTTCTGGATGTGCGTAGAGGGCAGGAAGGAGATGATGAGTTTATTGAGTGTAACAATATGACCCTTATCAATCTGGTGCTGAAAATACTGGGACCTACCCATGAGAGAACATTGACTGCAATCATGCTGTTAATGCAGGTAAATAAGGCTGGGATATTTGTGAGTTACAGACTTATTAAAGGGATAGTTCCCCTTAAAATAAAAATAATGTCATCCTTTACTCATCCTTCACTTATTTGAGCTTCTTTCTTCTGTTAAACACAAAAAGAAGATATTTTGAAAAATACTGGTAGCTGGTACCCATTGACTTCCTTAGTAATTTTTTCCAACTATGGATGTTGATAGGACACAGCAACCAGCATTCTTCTAAATATCTCCTTTTGTGTTGCACAGAAGAAAGAAACTTATAAAGATGGAAACCCACATGAGGAAGAGTAATTTATGAGTCAATTTTCATTTTGGGGAGAACTACCCTTTATAGATAGATATAAATATAACTACCCTTTATAGATAGATAAGAAGGCATCTGTTTGATCATTATCATCAGTCCTACGTGAGAATTGTTGTCCAAACATATATTAAATTAAAACATATATTAAAGTAATGGCACTCTTAGTTAAACTAAATTTATTATTATTAATAATAAATTCAATTTATTCTGGAAGCTTTATGAGCAACATGTTCTTCAGGAGACCCACTCTTTTGGAATTTAAAGACTCTTTCAAGCAACTGTGAGTTACTGCATAAGGGGATATGTTTGTATGTCTGCTCTCATACAAAAAAAAAGACTGGCATCAATAATAAAATGTATATTCATTGTAAAATTGCTCGTAGTTTTTCAAGATTTTATTAATTTGCATGACTTTTTTATGTCTAGAAATACCACTTTTATAATTAGACTGCTTTAGATATCAAGGTTTTCCAAGACTGTGTGAATTCTTGTTATTTTAAGGGAACTGTTAACTTGGATTAAAATATCATTGATATTATTAATAATACAATTATCTATTTTTTAATGCAGGTTTTGGGGAGTGCTGTGGCATTTGGCATTCGTTATCACCTTGTGCGTCTGTTCTATGACGTCTAGAAAACTTGAGAACCTGAGATACTCTACAACTTGCTGCTTTCATTTGGACAAACAACTGAATCAACTGATTTTTAATATATATATATATATATATATATATATATATATATATATATATATATATATATATATATATATATATATATATATATTATTACTATCTACTGCCTGTTTTCTATAAAAATCTCATTGCAGTACAGTGTATTTCAGCTCTTCTGTTTGTGTATCTGCATGTGAAGGGACAATCTACACGTAAGCCCCCAATACTCACTGGGACATGAAGGCTCTGTAAATAACAATGTCAGCATGAGGATTTCCAATAATGTGGGGCATCCTGAAAAGCAGACGGTTCTATTTTGAAAAATTATGTGAAGCATTTACATTCAGGGATATTTTAGACAGTTGGTGTGAACATTTCTGAAATATTGCTGAAACACATGTGCACTTATATTTTTCTGTGTCAGAGCAAATAACATGACTCATTTGAATAAACCAGTGTGACAATGGACCATGTTAGCTTCAAGAAAAGAAAATGGAGCATTCAAACTTGAAATCCAACATAACCAAAATATGCTGATTGTTTTGATAAAAAATAAAAAAATATATATAAACCTATAGTGTATTTGTAGTGTGTCTAGCTGATATATGTAGAGAATAGATAATTGTTACCCACATAAAGACACTATAGTGTTTTGGAACCATACTACAGTAAAGCATTTTAAACTGTGTATATTACAGTATTTGCAACAGTTAATAAATGCTACCACATACCAGAGAATTAACTATAGTGAACTGATAAAACTAAAAAACATTGAAGTACAGTTAAGTTAGCTCTACAGTAAAATGTGGTGTATTATAGTATATCATGCCCTATATGATTGTAGAAAAATTAAGTATTGGATGATTTGTTTATAGTAGTGTAGTTGTATTACCGCAGCAACTATATAATTACCACAGATTAATTCAAGTACTTTAGTATGGTTAACAATAGAATATAACTTTCATTCACATTTACTGTTAAAGTAGAATGATACTGTGTCCACTCCAAACAGAAAACAGTGTCGTGCATCAAGTAAAATCGTTTTGAGCGCTGTGAGACATTCATTTCTAGCCAGTGAACGCATTGTGCAATCCGGAACACTTGAAAGAATTTAGATGTTGGAGGGAACGATTATCATGACGTACAGCAAAGCTGCAATTTGATTGGCTTAGATTTGAACGCAACGCCGCAAAGATGATTTCTGATTGGTTTCTTTAATTTCTGGGCAAAAAAGTGAGGAAATGTTTCAAGTAATTGTTAAAGGTGAGTTATTTCTCAATACTTTTAAGCACCTGTAACTGCTCGCGCCCACAATAATAGTCTTGAAAGAAAACACATTCGTTTATTATAACCCGAAACTAACAAAAATGCTTCAACCAGCAAAACGAAGGCAGAATGTTAACTTGCCCTTTTTGTTGTGCTAAGCAGCTATGCACCATGCTAGCTTAACAACTCTGACTATGGTTTCATAAACCTGTTTGTGCTTTCGATGTTTAATAAGCTTTCATGTAATGGATGTAATCGTTTTGGTGGAGTTCGTGTGCTGAAAATCGCTGTGTGTTGTTATTCAATACAAACAAACTGACACTTGGCTTGAGCTGCGGTGTGCAGAATTTAACAGTCATATTAGGTCTCACATGTGACGTTTCTGTTATTCAGAGGACTGGAGGACCACACGTTGTGCTTTATATTCAGTTTTATATGCTGTATAATGCCCCCGTCAGCCAAACGAGGCCTGCGCAGAGAGGAGCTGCAGATGGAGCTCGTCTGTGAATGGGGCTCGTGTCAGGAGACGTTTGACAGGATGCAGGACTTCTGCCAGCATGTGGAGAAACACTATAAAGTCACCGTGGACAACAAGACAGACTTTCCAGGTGCGTTAAACATGTGGAAGGGCCAGGGGTCAAGATACGTCAATGAAATGTATTTAACCTGTATTTAGCTATTCACTTATTATCCTGGTTAAAGTATATATTTTACCCCCAAAAGAAAAAAAAAATCTGTCATCACTTATTCAACAACATGCTGTTCCAGATCTTTTTTTTTCTACTGAGATCGCTGAAAACAAATGTTTTTTTTGTGGGAGGAGATAACACGTTTATATAACATTTTAATCTTACACCGAAATGAGAACAAAAGAAGCAATTAAACCAACAAAATAAGATAGCAATACCTGCTGTGACAAGTTCCAGTTAGTCATGTTACAACGTTTGTTTGTTTTTTATTTATCTGTTAGGAAAATGAACCATAAGGAATGGAAAGTGCCAGTATTAGTATTAGTGAGTATAGCAGAGATGCAAAAGTAGGGCCCACAGGCAAAAGTTGGCATATGGTAACCTTTGAATTGGCCTGCCATGCCATGTAAAAAGAGAGGGAGAGAGCGATGGAGAGGTGGTTGGGGCGAATTTTTGGGGCTGTTTTTGACAGAGATTGTCTTTTCAAATTTAACGTAGCTTTTTGCTTCTTCATTTTATTGCTGAGCTACCAAAAAGCCAAATGAAATTAAATGATTGGATTAAATGTTGTAGATGAATCAGACTTTTAAAATGTACATACGGTCACTTGACAGATAGAGGACAATGCACAAGATATCTGTGAGCAAATTAAGGTAAACGCAGGAGCAGCTTGACTAGTGTATTCTACATTTAACCCCATTGTCTTATAAATGGGATTGTTTATGTTTTTACTTTAATGAGTTCATTATAAAATGTTAAAAAATGATTCTGCATTAGTTAATATGATTTAAAGCAATGTTTCTAGTTATTTTTAAATATTACCAAATAAATTAGCATATTACCCTTAGCAAATAGAATATATACGGTTTGGTGGGTATTTGGCCCACAGCCCTCAATCATCTTGGCCCTTGGGTTTTTGACCCTTTATAGGAAAAAGTTTGGGCACCACTGGAGAATAGCATTGAAAAATGATGCATCTTTGGTCATATGGACCACTTTTTATGGTTTTCATGGATATTTTATATTGTGTTTTTATAACCTTTTTTAAGTTTGCTATTAGTCACCATTTATTGTCAGAAAATGGAAAAGGCCAAAGTCAGGCATTGTTCAAAATATCTCTGTCATAAAGCTGTCATAATATTCTCTAGTCTCTTTTTATTGTCATCTGAAACATGAAATATATATTTTTAATAAAGTTTGAAAAAATTTTGTTCATTTGTAAAATATGCATCACAATAAAAAAACTAAATAATAAAATAACATTATTAAAAAAAAAACTAATTATAAAATGCATTGCAAAGTACATAACAGAATTACTTCAGTTGAAACTAAAATGAAAGCTGAATAAAAAAACTTTAAGAATTTTTTTTAAGAATTTACAATTCTCAACTAAATAATACTATAGAAAGTCTAGTTAAAAGATTATGATCAAAGTTTTAGTTACAAGAATGGGTTACACTATTTTACACTCTTCTTGTTACAGTGAAACTAACTATATTTTTTTACTGAATAATGATTAACTACATGTACTCACTATATGGTTACTGCTTGTATTTATGAATAATAAACTGTTATTACTTTAATATCTATTTTGGGTGGCGCAGTGGGTAGCGCTGTCACCTCACAGCAAGAAGGTCGCTGATTCGAGCCCAGGCTGGGTCAGTTGGCATTTCTGTTTGGAGTTTGCATGCTTTCCCTGTGTTTGTTTAGGTTTCCTTCTGGTGCTCTAGTTTCCCCCGCAAGTCCAAAGATATGCGGTACTGTTGAATTGAGGAAGGTGTAAATGAGAGTGTATGGGTGTTTCCCAGTGACTGCTTGCAGCTGGAAGGGCATCTGCTGCATAAAACGTATGCTGGATAAGTTGGTGGTTCATTCCGCTGTGGTGACCCCAGATCAATAAAGGAACTAAGTCAAAATGAAAATTAATTAATTAATATTATTATTATAAAAAAAATTTATTTCACTCGGGGGCAGTCGTCTAGTCACTGGCACACATTTATCCACTGTTTGTCTGTCTGTATCAATGTTACATCATCAGAGGATTGTTTCTGAGTGTTGAGCATCTCAGCTCAAGTTTTCTGGCAGTCACTGGCTCTGCTGGCAATAATCATAGCTTGGCTTGCCTGCCTGTCTTTCAGAAGAGGAGCATAACTGTCTGTGGCGAGACTGTGGCTTCTGCTCAGTGGAAGGAGATGAAGAGTTTCTCAGACACATATTCTTCCATTGCTACCACACCAAGTTGAAGCAATGGGGTCTTGCTATACTCAAGAGCCACAGCGACATGGGTGCCTGCTCCGTCGGCCTCCACAACCGCAACATCGTTCCTGAGGTCCAAGAGAACTTCCTCTGCCTATGGGAGCACTGTGAGGTACAAAAACAATAAGAAGTCTTTAATTTAGTTAAATTCAAGTTTGTTTGTATAGCGCTTTTCACAGGAGTTATTGTTTCAAAGCAGCTTTACAAAAGGTGTACATTATGCATTACAAATATGGGTTATTAGTTACCATAACTGTATTAGTTACTAATATCTTTATTTAATTAACTAGTAACTAATAGCTTTTAGCAGTTCTACTTATTATATATAAACATAGTTAACCTGCAGATATATAGTATACAGATGATGCCTATGTTTACATTTTATTATTCAAGTTTATTAAGCGGGAAGGTTGTTATTCTGCTGTTGGGTGTATTGGGCTTGTCAGTTATGTAGTTAGAAATTAAGTCCTTAACTAATAAGTGTGTTTGTATTCAGATGTCAATGGATAATCCCGAGTGGTTCTACAGGCATGTGGAGATGCACGCCCAATGTCTAGAGGCCAACGAAGAGAATGTGTTATTTTGTGGCTGGAAAGGTAATAAATGAGTATTGTTATTTAAATGTTTTGCAGAACATTAACATGTTTCACTCAGAGGTTCTTAAGTTTTTTTTTAAGAGGGTTGAGATTAATTCTTTATATTGTTTTTAAACATCATTACTTGCATTTTCTACCTGATTGAAGAGATTTAAAGGGCTATGAACCCCCCCTGTCTCACCAGGGTGTTTTCACAACTCTAGTTTGAATAAAGTCAGGAAAGTGGGTGAGTCCAGCTTTGTTTAGGTGGGAGTGTCGAGTGGCGAAAGCGGGAAGGGTTTGCATGAAAAGGGAAGTTTCAACAGGTGCAGGGAGATTGACAGTAATGACGTTTACATGGACATCAGAAATCAAATTATTTGCCTTAATGTGAATAAGACAATAATATGATTAAGGTGTTTACATGAGTTGGTTTTTGAATGCTCCTTTCGTGATTCGGTTTTACATGTTATAGCACATAATTCAATTAACGTCATTGCCATCACCGTGCTATCCACATTTTCTTTGGAGATTTGTGTAATTTCGGATGTTTTATTCTCAATTTGTCAACTTTAATTGCAGTTCGGCACTTTCATTCAGGAACATGTCATGCATGCCCCCCGTGACAAACGAGATATTGGATGCGAGGAGCTGCTGGAAGAGTGTTGTTTTAATGGAATTTTTGATACTGCATGCCGTATGAGAGAATAAAACCCTCCCTATTTGTCGGTTACTTAGATGCACTCAGTAGGTGCAGAGAATAGTCAGACAGCTGTGTGTGTGTGTATA